GGGGATGTGGACAACATGGAGAGGGTCCAGAGGAGGGCCACTCGCATGATCAGGGGGCAGCAGGGCAGGCCCTACGAGGAGAGGCTATGGGACCTGACCCTGTTCAGCCTCCACAAGAGAAGGCTGAGGGGGGATCTAGTGGCCTGTTACAAACTAGGCAGGGGGGACAAGCAGGCATTAGGGGAGTCCCTGTTCCCCCGACCGCTACCAGGAGTGACTAGAAATAATGGTCACAAACTGGCAGAGGGTAAATTCAGATTAGACATCAGGAGGCGGTACTTCACTGTCAGGGCGGCTAGGATCTAGAACCAACTTCCAAGCGAAGTGGTGCTGGCTCCTACCCTGGGGGGTCTTTAAGAGGAGGCTAGATGTACACCTTGCTGGGGTTGTTTGACCCCAGTACTCTTTCCTGCCATGGCAGGGGGTCAGACTTGATGATCTGCTCAGGTCTCTTCCGACCCTACCAACTATGAAACTATGGCTTAAAGGTCAAGAAATATAAGGATAAAATGAGAATTTCCAAAAGGCAAGCAAAGTTAGAAGTAGTAAAGTATACTAAAAAAAGAACCAAAACATTCCTTAGCAATATAAATAATGGGCAATTTCCATCCCAGAGTCCAGAAGAAACAGGTATATGAAATTATAGGTCCAGTTACACATATTTTTAATAAATCTAGTCAAGAGTACTACCAGAAGACTAGAGAACAGCAAATGTGGTGCTTGTAGGTAAAAAGAGGAGGGGAAATGTTATGTCCAAGTACTGGCCTGTCAGTTCAACTCAAAATGATGCAAAGCTTTAGAAGAAATGTTGAAGGAAATAATATATACAAGTATGGAAATAAACATAAAATGGGGTAAAGTACAATGTGGGTTTAGCCAAGAAAGCACACGAAAGACTAACCTGATATTTTTCACTGATAATATATTTTCTAGACAAAGGAAAAACAGTATCTTACATCTGTCTGGAATTTATTAAAGCATCTACAACATAATCACATGGAACAATGAAGGAACTGACCAGCAGGAAGACAGCAACAGGAAACGTTGGAAGGGGAAGTATTGGTGGTGAAGCAGGATGACTACCAGATCTTCTAAAGCAGAGGTGGGCAAAATCCAGCCTGCAGGCTGGATCTGGCCTGCAAAGGGATTTTTGCCCAGCCCACAATGCAGTGGCCAGACTCTATTTCCTGGCAGCCCTAGTAGCAGCAACTACTATGACTGCCGCTGCTGGACCTGGCCCCACTGAGCACACTGCCTCATAGGTGCTGACTTTTATTTTTGCCAGGTGGAGGCCTAAGATGATGCCACCTTGCACCCTTGTGGCATGGCCGAAGCAGAGCCAAACGGAGCCTGTGGGAGTTGGATACAGGCTGCCCGCTGCAGGCTTGGGGCTTCCCACCCTGCTGCTCTTCCCCTGGGAGCCCCATGCTGGCCATGCCACCATGGTGAGGTGCCCCCTGCCTGCCCAACTGCAGTGGGGGGCACAACTCTGCCCCACTGCCCCACGGCTTCTGGGTGGGCAAAGAGCGCCTTGCCGTGGGAGTGAGGCTGGTGTGGGGCTCCCGGTGAAGGGGAGCAACCTGCATCTGCCTCTCCCCTATGCACAAATCTGTGCCCCCCTGCCTCTGCATGTCCTCTTCCCCGGAGTGTGTGCGGCAGCAGGTAGCCTCCCCACACCCTCTGGCCCCTGGATGAGCCACCTGTGGCTCTGTCCTGTTCCCCACCCCAGCCCCAATCCCCATGTACTGCCCTGGGTGGGCAGCTCCCCCAGGCTCAGCCCCTGCCCCACTCTCTCCCTCACCATGGGGGCCTCAATCTGCCCCCTCCCATAGATTTACCTGCAGGCAGCTGGGGGAGCTGAGGCTCTCCACCACTGCCTGGGGCCATATTTCTGGACCCATGCAGCGTGGAGCCAGGGCACAGGGAAGAGCTGCAATCTGCTACCCACACACCCCTATGACAGGCACTCGTTTTGCAGTGAGAGACATGCAGGGAACAGATCATGCCTCTGACCCCAGCCTCGGGCTGTCACTATCCCAAAATCCAGGCCCCGCCCACCCACGCAACCCGCCTGAGCAACTCCCAGCCGTCCTCCATGGCCATCCACCTTTAGACACACAAGCAGACTGCAGACTTTAGTTTGGGAGTATTTTATTATCATCTTTGCTGCTTTTGTATCATACATTTAAAAAATAAATAACTGTAAATAAGTTAGTAGAGGACTACAAAAATACACCCACAGAAAAGAAGTCATGACCCATGAAAACTTTCTTTTTGGAATCCAGAATGGATGACTACTCTTAAAAATGTATCCACATCCTATTATTTCATTAATTCCACAAGCACCCACTTTCTGCTTGTGTGTACTAATCAGACATTGCTCCAATACTTTGATTGGGAATAAATCTCACTTAGGACACTTGTCAGGCCCCTTAAATACTTTAATGATCTTAGGTGTCACATACATGGGAAGTGTATGGCATGTGTGGGTCCATTCAAAGGCACATGATACATAAAGGTACTCAGGAACATGCACAGGTATATGGTAAGTGTGCATGTGTCTCTACAGGTGGACAGCACATGCGTGTCCATAAGAACTTAGGAGCTACTATTGTTCAGTATCTGGGCAAACTGGCCAGTAGCTGATGTTTCACGAGGACCATAAAAGATGCTGTGCAACAGGTACTTGTTGTGAGATAAGGTACCTCCTACGCTAGTTCTCGTCCCAGTTCTTAACCATTGAAGATTAGCTTAAGCCCCAAATTGTAACATGCAATATTCCTTCTAACCTTTCATTTCTAGCATTAATCATTGTAACTGGCTAGCTGTGCACTGAATACTAATAAACTCCTTGACATAATAGCATTGGGTGGCAATGAGTATAATTCTCTTTTGTGCAGGAAAATATTTCCTTTTTTTATTTTTGTGTGTGTCCCTTTTGGATTGGAATGGAATATCCTCCTGTTCTTACATTACCAAAGAAGTGGGAAGGAGGTTCCCAATCCACCTTATCTCTACCATTGGCTATTTGATAGACTTTAATCAAGATCCCTCAAATTAATTCCCTTTCTAAAATAAACACTCCTATCTTTTTCATCTCTGTTCATTAGAGAGCTTTTCCACATCCCTGTTCATCCTCCTCACCCCTTTTTCTGCAATACCTTTTAGCTATAGGGCGACCAGGACTACCCGAATGTCCCCAGTGACGGGGAACTACTGACCTCTATGCCCCCATTATCATTCTACGTAGGAGTGGGGCGGGTGATGATTGACAGCTCCGCGTCTCCCCCCAGAGGCCCCGCCCACCCGGCTCGGACATGGCGGGGGCAAAACGAACGGACAAAGGCGCATGCGCTGAGTACGCCGTGTCCCCCCTCCAGCTCGGAGCGAGCTCTTTCCGGCGCGTTGCGTGTGACGCACTCGGTCGGCGCCGGGCTGGCCGGCGGTCGGCGAGCGGCAGGAGATGGCGGAGTATCTGGCCTCCATCTTCGGGACCGAGAAGGACAAGTCAGTGGCGGGACCCAGGCGGCGGTTGGGCTCGGGACTCGTGACGGAGGGCGGGCAGAGCGTCTCTCCCCCAGTGCCGGTGCAGTATGGAGAACGCATCTCGCGTTGCTCCCCGGCTCCATGGGGGGGGGTCACTAGGATGTGGCTGTGGCGCGCGCCTTCCTTACCCCTCCCCCCGCCCCCCCTCGTGCGCCGCGCGCCGCGGCCCAGCGTCCCCGCCCCCACCCGGGGGGGGTGGAGTCCGTGCGCATGCGTGAAGCAGCTGCACTCTTCTTCTCCCCCCTCCCCCCTGCCATGCGGGTGCGGCGGAATCTTTCCCGCGCGCGCTGTTCTGCCGCCCGCTGGGGATTGGCTGCTGGCCCCACGTGGGCAACGCGTGCGCTGGGGGGGAGGTGGGAATGGCTCAGC